AGTTTCTTAGTGTATTCCTCAGTGGGATCTGAGGAAAGCGGCCTGTAGAATTTGATATTGGAGAGTTGACACCATCAGATCAGGATTAAACAAAGACTGTGAATGGCTATCCAACTACAGAAACAGTTTCTCCTCCCTTGGTGTTCACACCTCAACTGCTAGCAGAGCACCTCACCCTCCCTGATTGAACTAACCTCGTTATCTCCACACTGATATATACTTGCATCTGAAGAAGTGAGGTTCTGACCCACGAAAGCTTATGCTCCCAGTACTTCTGTTAGTCTCAAAGGTGCCACAGGACCCTCTGTTGCTTTTTACAGATTCAGACTAACACGGCTACCCCTCTGATACTTAGTTTTATGTATTTTTAATTAAATGTCTTAATTATTAGCATCTCAAAAATACCACCATTTTCTGCTGCCTTCCTAAGGCAGCCTGCTCTTTTAGTCAGCCAGAAGTCCATTGAATCTTACCAGTCTCTGCCCCATACCCATATTACATTGGGACATTGCTTCACAATGGTGCAATCATAACAAACCATGAAAGAGCACATAAATCTAGCAATAGCAAAATTACATATAAAATCACTAATGGGATAATTTGGATGTTTGTATTATCTTGTGGGAGCACAGTAGCCTGCTATCTGGTATGACTGGTTTTTAGTTCCTTATTAGGAGATATTCCCTTTCTCTCTCCAGAGCTTCCTGCCTTAACTGGGACAGCCATCATTTGACAAACTTGTTACACATTCCTGCATTTCAACTGGATTCCCATGTATCTTGCTGAGTTGTGAGCAGACTGCAGACACTGGCCTGCAGTTACACTTTCAGACCACATAGAGCAGCCGTTGTGCTTGCTGGGCAGACAGTCAGATGGCCCCTCTGTCTCCTCTCTGGCTGTTCCCTCTGCTGGAACCTAGCAGAGGGAACAGCACAAGGTGTGGTCCAATACTGGCCCCACTGGCTCACATATCTTCTAGAGAGTAACCCCAGGCATACATCCCCACTTCCACATTCATCAACCATCAACCATCCTACCCTCCTGGTTATATCAGCAACTTTCTCACCCCCCCCCAACACTTTCCATGCATCCCAGTAACTGCAGACAACCAGCAAACTCCCCCTCAGCCATCCCAGACACCTCAGTTTCCACCCCTTAGGAGCCTCATGCAACCATCAAAAAGCGTCCGCAGCTAACCCAGCATCCCACCCTCCAGAACCTTATCTACTTAGACACCCTAGTGCACACCCATTTACCCAGCATCCTCAAACAGACACCATCCCACACCCATCCATTGCGGTACCTCTAGATACTCTCCTATCTACCCCAATCTCAGCTGCCAGGTTCTATGCAGCTCCATGTCCTACCACTGCTTGGGGCAGGGTGTATTCACCAGAAGCAGAAGTTTATGGTTATATGAAAATCATTAGCAGATATGCAAATTAGCTGCATACATATTTTACTATAAATTGTCATGTATGGAGCTGCACAAAGTGTCCTCTCCCACATTTTCGTCCCATTCCTGTGAGGTTTCTTTTTCTCCCTCTGCTTTTCTTTGCTGTGTCCCTCACTTCACTTCCCTGTATACAGCTCCATGTTTCTTTTCCCCATATAGGTTTCCCTTTTCCATTTACCACAGCACTGTGAGACTCCTTCTTCTAATCTCTTCCTCTACCACTTTTGAGTATCTCTCTCTACTGAATTATTTTCTTTCCCCACATAACATCGTTATTTCCCTATACTACACCTTTGAAGTTCTTTCCTCTACCACAATCTGGTGCTTCCTCTCTCCTCACTCCTGCAAGGATGAGATGAAGGAGCTATTGAGTGGCTGTTTCACAGGTGGGTGACTGGGTGGCTATGGAAATTGGTAGAAGACACAAGGAAGAATAATACAAGAAAAGCAGTCTCTGGTTGCCTAGCAGCAGTCTTTAGTGGCCACAGGTGGTAACTGCAACACAAATATTTTCCCAATACCAGATACTTGGGATGGAATTGGGACCATTAGGAAATATCCTTGCACCTTACTCTATCCTAAAAACATAAAATGAATTTCAGTGCACTGATTTATGCAACGACTGTTCAGAATAAAATCACAACCAATGGCTCAAAGTAGAAAAGTCAAAAGGTCTGATTTCACTCCTGACAAATGAAAAAAGTCTGTCTCTGCCTCTTAGCAGCAGCCCAAGGCCAACTTCCAGACATGCAGACTCTGAAAGCACCAAATTAGTAAGGCTTTTTATTGTATTAGTATTTTATTTAAACAAAGCTCTCTGCATACATACATCTCTCTTTCATACATACATCCCACAAAGTAAAAATGGCAGCTGGAAGTAACTTCAGACTCAGTAAGTGCTCCTTCAACTCTAAGTGGCCCATTTGTACAACCCTATCCATTACTGGCTGTCCTGCTCTGTCCTTAATTTCCCTGAAGAAACATTCAGATGCATCTATTTGTATATTCATGAGGCATCAAATAATTTTCACCCAACTATTGTGTTGATCTGTAATGTTAGGATTCTAAAGAATTACTCATTCACAACTCTAATGCAAGTCTGAACTTGCTTGGATGCTAACAATATTCTGTTAACAATTAATGACCATTTACTTAATTAAGCAATACAAGATACATGTTTTAACTCCACGTGTGGCTGATGAATTAAAGAATTCTAATATGTGTTTTATTATTTTATAATGCAATTAATTCATGTATGAACTAATTGTTTTGATTTTACTACTAACATTTTATTATACATTTTATTTCAGATTACATCAATGCTTAGTCTTTGAGCTAGTCTTACTAACCTCCTCGAGCAAAGCTATTGGATAGATTTACATCCAAATGTCCTGGCACTACCTGCTTAACCACAGTGGACATTCTTGAAGCCCTCCTTTCAGTGCCTAAAGTCAGTCAAAAAGAATAAAAGATTAAAAACTACAATGTCATTCAGACTAACATTACTCAAATGACAAAAATGTTCTTTTCATGCTGAATGTAATTAATTGCTGCCAATTTTGTACTTTCAAAGTTCCTTAAACTTGTTTTTAGAGAGAATGTGTATATTTGCAACATTATGGAGGGTTAGGTATGGCTAATGCAATCAAAGTATTTAATGATAAATGAAGCAAAGCAGGCACAAATTTGGAATGGTGTTATTTTGCCAAAAAAAAAAAAAAGACATTATTTGGATACAGTAAGTCAGTTCCACCAACTGATTAAGCCAAGTAGACAAACTTTTCAAATCGCATGCTCCTGTTTCTAAAACATTATTTGAGTTAACTTTACATGAAACCTATCAGGTTTCATCACATGATAACTGAAATAGTATACTGACAAATTTCTTAGTGATTTCACTCAGATCTAGCTAAAGTCGAGTGTACTGCAAGAATTTTCCATTTATTTAACTGAAATTATACCTGGAAAAGAAATGAAAATTCATTCTGACTGTATAAAACATGGAAATAACCATTGCTTATGCACCTTCCACTACTTTTATAGATAAATACCGTATATGTTCATGTAGCATCAACTTCCAACAACCTTTACAAATTTTCACATAATATAAAATAAAGCAGTGTTTCTCAACCTTTTCAGATTGGCGACCCCTTATCTGAAGCAAAAATATTTTGCAACTTCCTTACATTTAATATAAAAAGAGCAAAAAATATATTAATGATAACTGTGATAAGCCTATATAATACAACTACTATTAGTACATTGGACCTCACAAACTTCGAAGGTGTTGGCCACCCTGAAATTATTTTGGAAATTTTATTTGCTTTGTTTTAGAAGTGTAATAACATTTTGAATGCCTTGCAACTCTCCTGATTTCCTTCTGTGATCCCTCTGCTGCAACTCCTGGTTGAAAAACACTGAAATAGTGTGTCAAATAATAAAAATTATGATGGTCCAAATTTAGCTACAAATTTGGCCTGTCTGAAATTGTTCTGGAGAATAATTTAGTTTTCAACATTCTTGACACTGTGGAAAACTCATTTGCAAAAAATTGGAGTAAATTAGCTACCCAGAAGCTGTAATATTAAGAAGTCACACTGAAGGAGTAACAGAAATCAGACTGGGGAGTCTAAGACACAGACAATCACAGTGGTTTTACTTTTCATCTTAGTTACAGAAAAGAATAGTGCAGCGTATTTTTACCTGGAGACAAAGCAATTGTTGGCCTTACAGTAAGAGTATTACTGCCATTAATTTTACAGTGGATGGAAATTGCATTCAGTAGGGCTTGCAGATATTTCTCCTGTTCTATGCTGCTTGAAGATTCTAAATTAGGAGGAACTATATAAACACAGAAAAGTACAAAATAGATTAAATTATTGCTATATTTACATATATGTGTAAAACCAAAACAACATAGATAACAATCAAATGTAAAAAATGTGACTGAGAATGAGAGCAGAGAGAACACTTTGCATTCTGCCTTTAATGCACATCAACATTTCTTAGATTCATAGATCATCAAGCCAGAAGGGATCACTGTGATCATCAAGTCTAACCTCCTGTATAACACGGAACTTCCGTAAATTTATTCTTGTTTAGTAAAGCCTATCTTTTAGAAAAACACCCTATCTAGATTTAAAAACTGCCAGCGATAGAGAATCCATCACAACCCTTGGTAAATTTTTGCAATGGTTAATTACCCTAATTGTTAAACATTCATGCCTTATTTCCAGTCTGAATTTATTTAGCTTCAACTTCCAGACACTGGATCTTGTTATGCCTTTGTCTGCAAGACTAAAGAGTCCTCTATTATCAAATTTCTGTTCCCCAGCTAGGTACTTACAGACTGTGATCAAATCACCCGCTTCACCTTCTCTTTGTTAAACTGAACAGATTGAGCTTCTTGAGTCTGTGACTATAAGGCATGTTTTCTATTCCTTTACTCATTCTTGTGGCTTTTCTCTGAACACTTTCCAATTTATCTACATCCTTCTTGAATTGTGGACATCAGAACTGGACACAGTATTCCACTAGCGGTGGCACAAGTGCCAAATACAGAGATAATACATTAATCTCCCTACTACTCAAGATTCCTGTGTTTACACATTCAAAGTTCGTATTAGCCTTTTTGGTCACAGCATTGCACTGGGCGCTCATATTCAGTTGATTTATCTTTTTCGGCATCACTGCTTTCTAGGACAGAGTTCCCTATCCTGTAAAAATGACCTACCTTCTTTGTTCCTAGATGTATAACTTTACATTTGTTTGTATTAAAATGCATATTGTTTTCTTGTGCTCAGATTACCAAGCAATCCAGATAGTTCTGTATCAGTGATCTGCCCTCTTTATTATTTACCACTCTCCCCATCTTTGTGTTATTCACAAATTTTATCACTAATGATTGTATATTTTCTTCCAGGTCACTGATAAAAATGTTATGTAGCAAAGAACCAAGAACTGACCCCAAGGGGATCCTCTGGAAACACACCGGCTCAGTGCTGATTCCCCATTTACAATTACACTTTGAAACCTGTCACTTAACCAGTTTTTAAACAAATTTAATGCATGCCATGTTAATTTTGTATTGTCCAAGATTTTTTTACACAAAATATCGTGCAGTAGCAAGTCAAATATCTTACAGAAGTTTAGATGTGTTGCATCAACACTATTACTTTTATCAAACAAACAGGTAATCTCATCAAAAGGATATCAAATCAGTTTTACAAAGATCTATTTTCTATAAACCCATTTGATATGCCTGAATTGCACTGCAGAAAAAAATCAGTAGCTTAAAAAAGCAGCACAGTGTACATCAGTTATTATTTTAAAAATCTCCATCTGCCAGTGGTCACCAGTGATAGCAGATTAACAGCGGTTTTCCCCTACACTCAGAATGGGAAATAGCACAGTAACTTTGTAGTACCTGTTGGCAAATTTCAACTTTTTTTCTGATGACCTGTTTTAGTGACTACTGAATGTACAGAATAATTTCTTTAACATATTAAATTTTAAAAAAATTCCAAAAGATTGATTACTTACTTTAAAGCAATTGTGGTTTTTTGAGATGTGTTATCCACACAGATTCCACTCTTGGTGTGAATGCACCCCATGCATGCGTTCTGACTGACCTCATGAGCTGTACCCCTGCAGTGGCCTCAACCATCTCTGAGGTCTAGTTTACTCTAGGAAATTAGGTCTGTATAACTATGTCGCTCAGGAGTGTGAAAAATCCACACCCCTGAGTGATGCAGTTAAACTGACCTAATCCCCAGTGTAGATGATGCTAGGACGATGGGAAATTCTCCGTCGATCTAGCTACTGTGTCTCAGCGAGGTGAATTACATATGCCAATGGGAAAACCCCTTCCACTGGCAAAGGTAGTGTCTTCACTGAAGTGCTACAGTGGTGCAGGCTGGGCCACTCAGCGTTTTAAGTGTAGACAAACCCTTTCTGAAAGTCCAAGTACACTATATCAACTGGATCACCCGTGTCCACATGCTTGTTGACTCCCTCAAAGAATTCTAATAGATTGGTGAGACATGATTTCCCTTTACAAAAGCTGTATTGACTCTTCCCCAATATAACATGTTCATCTATATGTCTGATAATTCTGTTCTTTACTATAGTTTCAACCAATTTAGCTGAAATTAGGTTTACCCACTTGTAATTGCCAGGATTGCCTCTGGAGTCTTTTTAAAAAATCAGTATTACATTAGCTATCCTCCAATCATTTGGTACAGAGGCTAATTTAAGCAATAGGTTAAATGCAACATTTAGTAGTTCTAATGTTTCATAATTTAGTTTTTTCAGAACTCTTGGGTGAATACCATCTGGTGACTCATTACTGCTTAATTTATTTGTTTGTTCCCAAACCTCCTGTATTGACACCTCAATCTGGGATAGTTCCTCAGAACTCTCACCTAAAAAGAATGGCTCAGCTGTGGTAATCTCAACAACCTTGTTTTCTTTGAGTGCTCCTTTAGTACCTTTATTGTCCAGAAGCCCCACTGATTGTTTGGCAGGCTTTCTGCTTCTGGTGTACTTAAAAAAAAAATGCTGTTAGTTTTTGTGTCTTTCGCTAGCTGTTCTTCAAATTCTTTTTTAACCTTCCTAATTATATTTTACATTTGACTTGCTAGAGTTTATGCTCCTTTCTATTTTCCTCAGTAGGATTTGACTTCTAATTTTTAGGATGCCTTTTTGACTATAAGCGCCTCTTTTGCTCTGCTGTTTAGCCATGATGATATTTTTTCATCCTCTTGCTATTTGTTTTTAGTTGGGGTATACATTTAGTTTGAGCCTCTGTTATGGTGTTTTTAAATAGTCTCCATGCAGCTTATAGGCACTTCACTCTTGTGACTGGTTTCAGTGGTAGCCGTGTTAGTCTGTATCAGCAAAAAAAATAGGAGGAGTCCTTGTGGCACCTTAGAGACTAACAAATTTATTTGGGCATAAGTTTTTGTGGGCTAGAACCCACTTCATCAGATGTATGAAGTAAAAAATACAGGAGCAGGTATAAATAAATGAAAGGATGGGGGTTGCTTTACCAAGTGTTAGGTCAGTCTAACGAGATAAATCAATTAACAGACGGATACCAGGGGAGGAAAAATAACTTTTGAAGGAGAGTGGCCCATTACAGACAAGAAGGTGTGAGTAACAGTAGGGAGAAATTAGTATTGGGGAAATTAAGTTTAGGTTTTGTAATAACCCAACCACTCCCAGTCTTTATTCAGGCCTAGTCTGATGGTATCTAGTTTGCAAATTAATTCCAGTTCTGCAGCTTCATGTTGGAGTCTATTTTTGAAGTTATTTGGTGAAGAATTGCCACTTTGAGGTCTGTTATTGAGTGACCAGAGAGATTGAAGTGTTCTCCTACTGGTTTTTGAATGTTATGATTCCCGATGTCAGATGTGTGTCCATTTATTCTTTTGCATAGAGACTGTCAGGTTTGGCCAATGTACATGGCAGAGGGCCATTGCTGGCACATGATGGCATATAGCACATTGGTAGATGTGCAGATGAACAAGTTGTGACTGTTCCTTTTAATTTCCATTTAACTAGTTTCCTCACTTTTGTGTCATTCCCCTCTTTGAAGTTAAATGCTACTGTGTTGGGTTTCTTTGGTATTCCCCCCAACCCCTGGGATGTTTAATTACATCATGGTTGCTATTATCAAGCTGCAGAACTATTTTCACGTCTTCAACCAGATCCTGTGCTCCACTTAGAACTAAATCAAGAACTACCTCTCCCCTTGTGGGTTCCAGGACAGCTGCTCCAAGAAGCAGTCATTTAATGTGCCCAGAAATTCTCTCTCTGCATCCCTTCCTGAGGTGACATGTACCCAAGTCAATATGGGGATAGCTGAAATCTCCCATTATTGTTGGGTTTTCTGATTTTTTAGCCTCTAATCTCCCTGAGCGTTTCACAATCACTGTCACCAGCCTGGTCAGGTGGTCGGTGGCAAATTCCTATGGTTATACTCTTATTATTCAAGCATGGACTTCATCCCTATGGGGTGTGAAAACCCTGAATAGGAGGTTGATTTCCAGAGATCCCTGCCAGTTGCACTCTTACTGAGCCGAGAGAGAGTCCTGACTGCTTCAGAGAAAGTAAATACTCCAATATTGCTGAAACTAGAACGGTCAACACTGAGAACTGATGCTGAACTGCTTAGATAGAAAGCTTCTTCCATTTGGCCTCGTATGATTGAAGGTTCAACCTGGTTGAAGGTTTTCTGCGTTGAAGAAAGATGTTTTGGGCTGCAGCAGAGCAGCATTGCTCAGTAGATGTCATAAAGCCAGTATCCAGGCTTCAAGGTGTAATGATTTGGGGTCATCATTCTGAGAAATCAGGCAGGTTTCTGTATTGCTATATTCATTAGATCTGAATACCTGCCTGGTCCATTCTGGGACTATCATGATCATACAATCATCTTGCTTGACCTTCCTCCAAACTTTGGGTATCACAGGTGTTGGTTGAAAGGCATACATTAAATTTGGAGCCCACAGGGTGAGATAGACATCCATGTGGATGCCTCTTTTGGAGCAGAACATATGGCACTTGCTGCAAACAGTTCCAATTTTAGAAACCCCCATATGCAAAAAATGACACGAAGGACTGAGCTCTTGAGGGATCATGTTTCTTTCAAACAAGTCTCTGCTGAATTGATCTGACAAAGTAGTCTGGAGGCCAGGTGTGGTATGATTACAGATACACCAATCCCAGAAATGCATGACTTCCTGGCAGTGAAGAGGATCTGGCTCCCCCACCCCGTTTGTTGATATGTTGTATTGCTGTGGTGTTTTCTATGAACACGTGGATAGTTAAGCCTTAAATAAGAGGTAGAAAAGCCAGTTGAATAGCCCTGACTTCTAGAATGTTTATATATAGGACCATCTCCTGAGGAGACCATCTCCCCATAATCTGTAATTGGTGGAGCTGAATGAATGTGGTGTAAGTGCCTGCTGCCATGTGCCCTATGAGTTTGCGGTGGGTCCTCAATGGTGTTTTTGGGTATTCCTGGAACTGTCTGATGAAGTCTGTCATTGTCTGAAATCTCTGAAAGAGGTATGCTCTTGCTGACCTAGATTCTAACATGGCTCTGATAAGTTCTATGCTCTGATTTGGGATCTGTGTGGATATTTTTTTTTGACTTGGCATCCCAATGATGCAAAGAGATTTAGAATCATTTAAATGAGTTGGTCACTTGTTGTGGGGATTTCCTTGTCTAAATGGATTTCTAGATAGCATTGTACCTGGAGTCCTTGTTTTCTCATATGGGCTTGGCACCATTGCCAGAACTTTGGTGAAAGGCCAAAGCACAGGACTCCATACTGATAGTATGATGTTCATTCCTCCTGTGACCTGGATGTATCAAAATGTGAAAATAGTCATCCTGTAAGTTGAGAGTCATGAACCAGCCCATAGGATCCAAATTGGGGATTATAGAAAGGTAGCAATACAGAATTTGAAACAATGGATAAAGGCATTGAGATGTCAAAGATCAAGGATCGGTTTCCAAGTTCCTTCTTCTATAGTATTAAGCAGTAAAAGTCCTTGCCATTGAACTCTAGGGGCATTCCCTCCGCTGCTCCTGGTTGTATGAGGGAATTTATCTCTTGCTTCAAAGTCTCTTGTGAGAAGCGTCCCCGAAGAGGGTCAAGAAGGGGGTTGGAACAGCTTGAAACCAGATGGGATACTTTTTGCTTATTATCTCAAGGAATGACTAATAAAAAAAATATATGTGCTATACCTATCTCATAGAACTGGAAGAGACCTTGAAAGGTCATTGAGTCCAGCCCCCTGCCTTCACTAGCAGGACCAAGTACTGTCCCTGACAGGTTGTTTTTTTTTTGTGTGTGTGCCCCAGATCCCTAAAGTGAGGTCACTTGATGCTGAGAATTGTACTGGTGCTCATATGGCAAGCACCTGGGCATCCGGTGTTGTGGTGTCAGAGACTATCAAAAAGAGGCCAATGGTGCTGTGAATAAAGCTCTCTGTGCTGTAGCTGGTACTGAGGTTTGTGCTGTAGGATCAGTACTGAAGGCAGTGCAGTCCTTACTCTGGAAGGGAACCGTCAGCGCCAGCTTCAACTTTGGTATGGAGATACTAGAATGAGACTCTGCTTTCAGGCTCTTAGTGGAAGAAAATGTAGAGAATGATTTCTGTGTCCTATTTGGGGAAGAAGATCAGTACTTGTCCTGGTCCTGGGAGCAGCGTCAATGATGGTCCCCTTTCAGAAGTCAATGCTGATGTGGCAGACAAATGGGTCTTGTGAGAAATGACCCAAGGCCTAAGAGTAGGGGTTTGGCTCACTGGGAAACTAGAGACAACTGCAACTGCCTTGATTGAAGACGCTTCTCTGTGGCTGTGCATGGATCTGATGAGTCTTGCATCAATTTTTCCAGGAGGAAGAGTTTGAGTCTTGCCGCCTCCATCTTCTGAGTACAAGAATGATGAACATTTGGAGCAACACTTCACGACATGTCCCTCTCCTAGGTAAATGAGACATCTCCTAGGTAAATGCCGATTGTTAACTGATTTACAGGAGGGCAAATTTTAAACTCCTGTGACTTGATGTCAGCCATTTTAAAGTAATATACAATGGGGTAAACCCCTTGTACAGTGGGGTAAAGAAAACCTATGAATAAACCATTAAGTTGCTTTATTTTATTATAGCCAACAGGCAAAAGAAACCTATAGAAGAAATAATAACTACCCTAACCACAACAAATTAACACTAATACTAGAGCAAGGGATGTGGACACTCCAAAGGTTCTGTCTTGCAGCAATGAGTGAGAAGAAGGAAGTGACAGGTGGCTGGGACGCTCTGTCCTTTATGCCCTTAGCTAGAGGGCACTTAAGGTGCACAGTGGCCAGAAGAGCCAATGATATTAAAAAAGAAAAACTGCTCTTGAGCAGTAGGTCAAAGTGTACTACTAGGGAACCTCTAGTGAGCGGCAGCAGGGTCCACACAGACAGTGTGTGGCCTGGTGAGCACTGTAAATTTATAACCCAGTGCAGAGTCCACTAACCACTAACGTAATAGCCAATCCAAATATTGCTGTCGTTATTGAATTTCTAATTAAAATATTTCTGAAGTTTTAGCACCTTTTTGCAAGTGCCTGTGAAACAGGCAAAGCTCTTATAGTTAAATATTATGCCGGATGTGAACTGTTCTTTATAAATGGTTGAAAATATTTATAAATATAATTAATAAGTTTCAATTTCCCATGGTTATTTCACAGAGATACCTTATGAAGCAGTACTTTATTCAATGGATTATGCAGAAAATACTTAAATCATGCAATCTATCCTCATCATGAGAACCTTGAGTCACTCATTGCTTTTATGTAACTTGCTTACCATAATACATTATGTTATTAACAGTGAAAAATTCCACAGGGCAAACTATTCAGTAATGTCAAGTACTTTAAAACAGATTTTTAGTCTTTAATTGCAGAAGTGGAGGAACTTATTGATCCAGAAATTTCTATACTGATTGCATATCTGCTTTGCCACTTTCCTCTCATGCTTTCTGAGCAACATTCTGATATTTTTTCTTAGAAATAAATTCCACTGGCTAGTTAATTCCCAACTCCCATGATACCATTTATTTCAAAGAGGTAAAAGGATCCTTCATTCTGCTCTAATTTCTCTGGGTCAGGCTAGGGTTTGGATAGTTAATCGCAAACCAAATTCTTCCTTATTTAGATAACCAAGTTCACTTTTGTCTTGAATTCTACTTCTAACACTGTATGCCTAAGAGATGCACCAGTCCTGTTTTCTTCATACAGTCACAAGTATCCCCCCCCCCAAAAAAAAACTAAGAGAGAGAGATATACCTATCTCATAGAACTGGAAAGGAGACTGAAGGGTCATCAAGTCCAGCCCCTTGCCTTCACTAGCAGGACTAAGTACTGATTTTGACCCAGATCCTTAAGTGGCCCCCTCAAGGACTGAACTCACAACCCTGGGTTTAGCAGGCCAATGCTCAAACCACTGAGCTATCCCTCTCCCAGTACTTAGACTTTCCTTATTGGCTAACATCTTTGCGGTATTAACTTTATTCAGTGTCATTATCTTATCTTCAGAACAGAACATCATATACAGCTCACTCAGGCCCTCTCAAAAACATAAAACCAAGACAGTAACTATGAGAAAGAATAAGAATTAAAGACACACCATGCAGCTCATGTGGGAGGTGAAAGTCGAGAGTAATGTGTCCTTCACAATTCATTTCCCTCTTAACATGCAATTCACTTTCCTCCAATATTCTCTTCAAAGATACTCCATTATGACAGATATTGCACTGTTCCAGTGGTGATCATGGGAAAGATGAACCTTTATCTCACCCAAAGAACCCAAGCAGAACTCTGGAAATCTCTCAGGCCTTGGTTTTATAAAAAGCTCTCTCAAAGTAAAACTAAAATTATGCTCAAAGCCATCAGAGAGTCAAATGGGTAGAATTTGCTCTAACTATTGCTATATCCCATAAATAATGACAACATGAACTCGTGTGTGATGCAAGAAAATAAGGTGCAACAACAAAACCAAATTAAAAGAATATTGTTTAAAGAAAGCAGGTGGAGTTGCTGTAAATTAAACAATTTATTCATGAGAACACCATACATCTCTAAAGGAAAAGAACCTCTTTCACTGAAACAACACATGCAGAAAGTCCAGAAACATAAGCTCACCTGCAGTATGTGTGTTTTGAGATTTGAAGAGGCCGACAACTCCCTTTCCATGGAAGCCCCCAGCTCTTAGCAGCAGAGTACTGATTTTTGAGTTTTTCCAGCAGACAACTGGCAGGCGATTGTGACGATAACAACGAGCTACCCTCTGCAAACTGCTGTCCTGCACAGACTGAGGTACTACCAAAAGTCCAGGATAGCTATATTAATCAATAGAGAGAAAATTTAAAAGATAATCAGAATTATTTTCAAAAAGATTCTTCCTTTTCCTTTTTAAAATAGGATACGTATATTTCTTAATCTGCAGTTTTCACTGATATATGCACTTTTATTTATCATAGAATCATAGAATATTAGGGTTGGAAGAGACCTCAGGAGGTCATCTAGTCCAATCCCCTGCTCAAAGCAGGACCAACACCAACTAAATCATCCCAGCCAGGGCTTTTAAAGAATAGCTAATTTTTGGAATACAGTGTATTTCTGATTATTATTTTGATAGGATGAAGAGTATTAGAATTTTTAAAAAGCAAATTTCATTGGAGAAAATGTAAACGACTACTTCCTTTTTTTCTTTCATTTACAGTCTTATTTGTTGATAAATCTCCTTGTTCCCCATTTATTCCTGAAATTCTCTCCTCAATCTGTCATTTGAACAGAGTCAGGTTTATGAGAAAGACATAAAAAACAGATCACTGGGGCTCTTCAAAGGAAACAAACATTATTTTTATATTTGACACCAGTGATTGTGTACAGGCGCTGACATTTTAAAGGCAAGAATGTTTAGATGCTTTGAGTTAAAACACAGTACTTTGGCATTGACCATAACTGGCTCATGTCAAAATGCATTTAAATATTTTAGTAAGAAACAATTTTGGAACAGCACATTACAAATTGCTGGTTATATAATGTTTAAAAAAACAAAACAAAGACAGTTTGGGAACTTCCACGATATAATAGTTTTGAAAACAGAAAATCAAGCAAGAGTGTTGTCTCTGGTTATGTAAGTGGAAGAAGGATTCAAGGCGTTTGAAAGATTTCTTCTACCTCCTACAAAGAGGATTCAATTAAAGTGTCAGTTTTATTTTGAGAGAAAACTAATTAAAGAGAGCACTCGGGAGATTTTACATTTTCCTAAAGAACCCCTCTTCTTCTATAATGCACAACATAGGATTGTGTGTGACACAATGTAAGTGAACTTATTTGACATTTACTGAACTTTATCATCAGGGAATGAATGCCTAATCCATTTTATGGTCTATTTCCTAAAATACAGTACCTGAACCAAAATCACATGACATTAAATAACCTCTCATATCCCAAAATTTGTAAACCAACTGGATATTGACTACTTTTCTCAAAATAGTGACAAAAATTCAAACAGGTATTTTTGGGTAAGGAAAAGGTATGAAAATTATTTTAAAAATATAGTGATTACAAGCAACTTAAAAGCACAGTTAATATAATGCAGTGATTTCTTTGGTTCAATTTAACTAATATTCGCTAGTGATTGAATAAAAGTATTGCTGTCACATTGGTGCTTTGGAGAAGAGACAAACAGCCTGGATTTAATATTCTTTTGTGCTCTTTCCATGAAAACGATGGCAATTTCATTTTTCCATAACGAAAACAACTTTTAGCCTGCAGTGTCTTTGTAGGATGTGAGTACTTCAGTGATGAAACTTCTGCAGATTTGCTGTTGTGTTAAACAGCATTTTTGTAGGCACTGATAATAAATCTCAGTTAACTTTCACAATAAAAAGGGCTTAAGCATTAACTTCTGACTGACGTTCAGGAGTTCACATATAGTATATGACAAACATTTTAAAGGAAGTGCTCCAACAACTGGTTCATGAGTTCTTATTTGCAGTTTCTGGTTTGAACTGTATTAATAAACATGCACGTCTGGGGCTTGTTTTCCTAGTCTCAAACAGAAGTTTTAGGTGTGTAACATCCAGTAACTTTAAAATGAATTGATTGTATGTAGCTCCCATGCACTGACAGGAGAATAGACCTTTAGGAGATTTCAAATTAGGATTTTATAATGTACAAAAAGGACATTATAGATCCAACTAAAATACAAGTCTTAGTAGCTGAACATACAGAGCTGCTAACAAATATGTTACAACAAAAAGAAAGAAAATCAGCACTGCTATGTTTGCTGTAAGTTCAATGTTATTGGTTTGGGGTTTATGACAAGTACCATTTTCTCAGAATACTTTGCTCTCTAAATGGATGTGTTATATGTAATGGATGTTGTGGATGATGTGTAATATGGCAGATACACATTTCTAAACATAAGAGTGAACTGATTAACTCACCTTCTACAAAGTGAATACATCCTGTTCAATGCAGTTATTCGGAAGTATTCTGTTTTGGAGCGAGAAGAGCTACTACTGATGGTCCCCAGTCCCAAACGCTGATAGTCTCTAAAACAGGCTCTCTCTACTAACTGCTCCATTGTTGACTTTTCTGAGGCTTTCAAAGTACCACTTGTGTGCAATTCACTGTCATCTGAAACTGAAGTTAAAATACTTTTCTAGCTTAGTATTTAGAAATGCACTAGTTATATAAGTAGACTGAGATGCTTCATTCTGAGCAAAACATCACATTTACCAAATCCAACAATTGCTGATGGCAGGGACTAATGACAACTGATACCAATTTATACAAATTATAGCCAACAGGCTACAAATTTTATTAAAGTAATTTAAGATAAAGGCTACAATATCCTGGAACTGATGGAAGGGAGCATATGTGAAGCAGCAACACCCTAAAACTGTCACCAGCATCCCAGTGGCATGCAAATATTATCAATGACCTAAACAGTTCTATTTAAACCTAAGGCAAAGATGAGCCCATATAATTCCAAAGCAAGTAGTTCAGCATAATCTTCTGCACTGGGAAAGTTGATTTGGGATCTTCGGTTACTCCTGTGGATCTAACCTACAGGGTCCAAAGAAGTGGGAATTATGAACATTCCACATGCCACCCACCACAGAAACATAGAAATTACCTCACTAGATCAGTATCTAGTTTAGTATCCTGTCTCCAAAAGCAGCCAGCACCAGATGCTGCAGAGGAAAGTATAAGAACCCCACAGTAGGGAGATACTGGATAATCTGCGCCTCACATTAAATAATTAACTGATCTCTAACAGTTAACATGAGACATGAAGTTTAATATCTCTTCCACAAAATTTATCATTAATTATGATCATTCTAGATATCTTGTTATCCATATAAATGTCCAATCCATTTTTGACTCTTTATACGTTCTTGGCCTCAACTTCCTTTGGCAATAAGCTCCACAGTCCATCACGAGGTCGGGAGACCAACCCAACCCTTCTCTACCCACATCACCAAAACAATTTAAGCCTTGCCCAGAAGAATAATGTTGTTGCACAGAACAGGAGAAGTCCGCTCTCCTTTTCCTGCCAGTGGGGCCAATGCCACAGGAGCCGCATGCACTGCAGACTGAGAGGCGCTGCAACTTCTCAGTACACTCACTGCTGAGCACATACAGCTCGGCGAGGTGGCAGCAGCCAGCAGGGCACCCACCTGTGCCGATCCCGTGGGGCAAGAAGAGGTGATCCAATCTGACTTGAGCCTGAGTGGGGTTGGTTGTTTTCACACCCAAACCAACCCAGACCCAACACTTGTAGTTGGGCCCCATCAGGTTTGGGTCAGATTGCAGAACACTAATTCATAGGCAGTGACCTGGCATATAAGAGAAGGGTGCTTGGAGTCTATTTGAATAATGACTTGAAGAAATGCTCTGCTAAAGTGGTTTTCAGTTCTTGATGCCTCTAACAAGGGAGTAATGTTGTGGAAATGTATGAACCCAATCTCACATAGTTGCCCTACATATCTCAGAGATTGGTACACTTCTTAAAGAAGACACAGGATCTGCCTGGGTCCTGGTGGAGTGGGCACTGATCTAAACTAGCTAGCTCAGTATATTCTGATGCAACAGTTAGATATTTTAGGGACAGATACTGCCAGGCCCTTCATCCTACCTATGAAAACTACAAATAATCTCAGGGAATTCCTGAAAGTGAATGATAGTGCCCGAAGCACATCCAGGGTACGCAGTACGGCTTCCCCTTGGCTGGAGTGGGGCATAAGAAAAAAGACAAAGCTATACTGGTATTAGACAATCAGGTATTACTTGGAAGTCTGAGACTCCTTTCAGCAAGATTTTAGAGTGAGGCCTAAAGGCCACCTTATCCTTATGTAATATATGTATATTGTGTAATATAGTATATTGTGCACCAGTCATAGTAATAGTAATACGTGCCTATATTTCTCCTTCCCTTTGGGCAGATGTTACTGCCACAAGGAAGGCTATCTTCATGGATAAATGATAAAGTGAGCACATAGCTAGAGACTCAAAAGGGTGGGCAATCAATCCCACTAGGACTATCTTAGAGATCTCAAGCAGGAGAAGGCTCCTTAACTGGGTGAAACAGGTACATATGGCCCTTAAGGAATCTAGCTACTGTCAGTTGGGAGAATGCTGTGTGACCCAGAATGGGAGGGATGGTTGGCTACCCAGTGTACTCTTAAAGAGCTTATAAACAGTCCTGCATTTTCCAGCAATAAAAGGTAACTCAAAATAGCAGATATCTGAGTGTCTAAGGGAGCTAACTGATGTTGCTGGGTCCAAATAGCAAATTTTTCCACTTTGCCAAATATGTAAGTCTAGTAGGTCTTTTCTACTGTGGATTAACATACTTTGGACCTCTGCAGAGCAACTCCTCTCAATGATGGTTTTCTAGTCTTCATCTAGGCTGTCAAGTGTAATGAATCAGGGTCTGGATGGAGGATCTACCCGTCGTTCTGGGAGATTATGTCTGGAAGAGGGAAGGGTACCGGATAGATTAATCCGGTCTGATAACCAGAACTGTCTTGGCCAAGCAAGTACCAGCATGATCATAACTACTGCAGGCTTCCTTGGGACCTGTGCTCAAGAGTCCAAAGGTCTAGGGCCTGGAGATGGTCCAGGTGAAGTCTCAACTCGAGTGTGGAATCATTTGTCACTAGTGTCTTAGATGGCAATGGTGGGGAAAAGGATAGTCCTTCTACCAGTTTAATAACAATAGGACTTCTGGGGGACCTGCACCTTTATGACAATAATATCTTTTGGGAAGATACAAAGATTTCAACCATGTGACTTAGGTGAAGTCTGGCATACTATATTATGTAAGTGCAGGAGGCCATGTCATCTAGAAGTCTGAGGTATGCTTGTCCTGAAGTTTGAGGATGAGCCTGTAAATTGTTGTTGAGATCAATGATGGTGTTGAATCTGTCCTGAGGGAGACAAACCTTTGCTGCTGTAGACTATGAATTGTATCCTCTGGGTTGGTACTAATACTGACTTTTATATGTTGACTTTGTGGTGGGCAGTGAAAAGCTGAAGTATTTGATGATTGGAGCTAGTCACGTGCTGTGTGATTTCTCAGGAATAAACCAACCGCTGAGGTATGGTACACCTGGATTCCTTGCTTTCTCAGGTGAGCCACCACCAGTGCGAAGCATTTTGTGAATGCTGTTGTTGCTGCTGGTAATCCGAATGGAAGAACTCTATATTGATAATAGGAATTTCCCACTTGGAATTTCAGGTAATTCTAATGAGCTCGATGGATTGTTATGTGAAAGTAGTGAACTTGGAAGCTGAGAGCTGCAAACCACTCCTGGGGATCTAAGCAGGGGATTATAGAGGCTAGTGTTACCATTCTGAACTTGGGACGGCTAAATACCTTGCTCCAAATCCAGAATTGGGCACCAGCCTCCCTTTTTCTTTGGAATTAGAAAATAATGGGAGTAAACCCCATTCCCTCTGTATTCCACAGGCACTTCTTCCACTGCTTCAAGACTTAGAAGTGATTCCACCTGTAGCTGTAACAGTCTCTCGTGGGAGGGACCCATGAAAAGGGATGGGGAAGGGAGATGGGGGTAGGAAGGGTCTGAAATTGTATGGAATATGCCACCATGATGATCTCTAAGACCCAATGGTCTGTGGTGCTGAAAAAATAAAGTAAATGGTTTCCAAAAGGAGAAGAGGAGTAAAAAAAGATCCTCTAGGTGTTATAAATGGCTCCTAACCAAGGCATCAAATCAGCTGCCTTGAAGCTGTTGCAGTGAGTGGCTGACAAAGAGGAGACAAAGGGCACCTCTTTTTTGGCACCTCTGCTGAATATAGGAGCTCTGCTTGGAGTAGGTCTGGTGCAGATGTGGTTACTTCCCAAAGATCTTAAAGGTGCTTGTGAGTTGGCTGAAACTCAGAATTTCTGGTTCATGGGAAATTTTGACATTTTGAAATTTGGTTTCAATCTGATTCCAAGGTTGTTTGTACCTTTCTAGGTATGCCAGAAAACGTCAACCACAAGGACTTCCTCATAGCAATAGATGTGGCCATGGACTTAACTGTTGTGTCTGAGATACAGCCTCAGCCTCCAGTCTAGTACAGTATGGTGAGAAGGATGTGCTGACCTTCAGAGACTAACAACTTGCCTTAAACTGCAGCGAAGAGTGTAAGCCTTGCTCACCTTTTGCTTTTTTGAACAACCTGAAAATGCCCATCATTAAGTGGCATCACCACATCTCAAGAAGGGCAGTTCTTAAAACCAGGAGACTACAGTTCAGCCATAAGGGTCGGAACCCAGTACTGAGGAAGCCTCACAAACTAAGGAATTTTTTTACAATTTTTTTTTAAAGGTGTGTGTGTGGTGGGTGGGGGGGAGACAACAATTAACCCATTAACACTAAACTTACTAACACTTCCTGCCTTTTATGCATTCCGGGCAGCAGGACATACAGGGTACAAGCGCAACTCCAGTGGACACTGCTAGCCAAAGAATCCAAGCTTGAGCGCAGGGAGTGGACACGCACCACAAATGGAATCTATATGGACAAGGACCGAAGAAGAATCTGGATTTCCACACGATGAGAGTTATTTCTGACTAATGTGAGGACATTTTCCCTCTGATTTCTTTCCCTTCTCCATCAGATGAGGGACGAGCATTAGGTATTTTTAGCCTTTTCCTTGAAGGCTTTGTTCATTCTTTTTGAGAGCACACAATGAGCCAAGCTTAAGAGTTCAGTAGGAATGAGCTTTATATACATCCACATATTTTGTCCCACTCACACTTACCAACCAGTCCAATCATTTTATTAATGAAAAAAGGTATTTCAATAATAAAACAAAAGAAAGGGGGAAAAAGATTAGACTCCTTTTCCTACTTGTAATCTTTCCTATATATATATATATAAACACCAACACCAGTGCTGTGATAAATAGGAAACATTTGGCTTGTGTAATGTTTTGAAGAAATAATTAATTTTTGATACACTTCATTATCTGAAATAGTAAATAAAAAAAGTGAAGAATGATGTGACAAAACAATACCTATTTAGGTATAGGAGAATCTGGTTCCCTCTAGTGGTATGTTTTATTGTAGCATTGATCCAGATTAGGAAAAAATTGATGTTGTGACAGCAGTTGTATGCAGTGTTGTTGTAGCCATGTTAATCTCAGGATATTAGAAATATAAGGTGGGTCAGATAATATCTTTTATGGGTCCAATTTCCATTGGTGAGAGAGACACATTTTTGAACTTGTCTCCTCACCAACAGAAGTTGGTCCAACAAAAGACATTACCTCACCCGCCCTCTCTCTGTAATGACAGCAGCACATTTTAGAAACTGAGGTATTTAGAAAAAAACAAAACAAAATGAACACTTTCTGCCTTCAGCACCAATACTTTCCACTGATGTCTGGAAGTGTGATATTTTCACATGTAATACTTTTTGTTAATTGAAGAAATCCCCTCATTTTATACTTTCATATCTGTTGATAGAACCTATGCTATTTGCTTCTTCTTTACACTTGCCTTTCTAGAATGAGACTCAACCATTCTAGATTAATGGCTCATGACAAACTGTTTAACAATATTGTACATGAACGCTGCTAAGTTTGCCTTAATGCTGTTAGCCAACGTTATCCTTGTCTACTCCAGGGTGCTATACAGGGTGGTAAGCAAAGTTGTACTGAGCACAGTTCGGTGATTAAAAAAAGGATCTGAAATTTGAAAATTTCCACTGCAAATAAACTAAGTTAAAAGCTTGTGCTCCCCCTTATTTCCTACAAACCTGGGAAAGTAATAAAAGTTCAAAGTCTTCACCAAGTGATAACATTTGAAACCTTTCAGTCTAATGTCTGAAATAGACCCTTTTACCAATTAATTACTGTTTGAGAATCTCTTGAGAGGTCAGTGTATTTGAATGGATGCATAAGCTCATCTGATAACATGAATATATTTTACCAGAGATATCATCATCTTCATTCCAGCCTGGACGATTCCCTCTTTCTTCCACTATTGTGCCTGTCTTCTTCTTTAATAAGTATTGACGACCAATTGTCATCTTCCCTGCACGTTTGGCTCCTTTCACAATTGTTTTTGAGAAGGTGCTAGAATTCAGAAATAAATAACAATGCCTGATCTCAAAATGTAGATAAAATACAACAGTTATATTTAACTCTCACTAATATTCAGTAGCTGTATCGGTATACCAAAATACACTTGTAGGATGTATCTTCTCACCCACACAAAGCATGCTTAACAATTTTTCATTTAATTTCAAGAAAGAAAAGTGAGGTCAGGACCTCAGAAAATGGGCTCCTAAAATTTTAAATTCCTAGTCCTGGGATTTAGGAGAATGTGCTGTGGCAACACTATGCCAACTGTGTCCAATAGTAAAGAAAAAACAACCATCTTCTGTTTGCAGGTTTTAATTTTGTTGGAAATATAACAAATAAATCTTCCTGGTTAACAGACTGAAGACATGAAAAAAGAAATCTAAAAATCTCTGTATTCCAGAATTATGTTGGGATTCTAGTCCATTGAGCCAAAAAGGCACTAATCAGTAGAGGAACACATGAATTGCCACTCTGTAACAGACTAATAATCCACCTAGTCTAGTAAGGTGCCTAATAATGGAGTATAACATATTCATAGATTCCAAGTCCAGAAGGGACCATTGTGATAATCTAATCTGACTCCTGTTTAACACAGGCCAGAGAACTTCCTCAAAATAATTCCTAAATCATATCTTTTAGAAAAAACCCAATCTAAATTAAAAATGGTCAGTGATAAAGAATCCACCAGGATCCTTGGTAAATTGTTCCAGTGATTAATTACCCACACTGTTAAAACCTTATGCCTTATTTCCAGTCTCATTTGTTGAGCTTCAGTTTCCTGCCATTGGATCATGTTTTATCTTTCTCTGCTATATTGAAGAGCCCATTATTAAATATCTGTTCCCCATGTAGCCACTTATAAACTCTGATCAAGTCAGCCCTTAATCTTCTCATTGTTAAGCTAAATAAATTCAACTCCTTAAATCTATCACTATAAAGCATGTTTTCTAATGCTTTAATCATTCAATCATTTTCTTTGAACCCTCACACCCTTCTTGAACTGTGGACACCAAAACTGGATGCAGTATTCCAGCAGTTCTGATTTTTTTCCCCCCCAGAGTCATTGCTTCCAGGATAGAGTCCCCCATCCTGTAAATATGGCCTTCATTCTTTGTTACTACATGTATATGTTTATATATAGCTGTAGTAAATACATATTATTTGCTTGCATCCAGCTTGCCAAGTGATCCAGATTGCTCTATTTTTGTGTTGCCTGTAATTTTCACCAGTGATAATTTAAGTTTTTTTCCAGGTCACTGATTAAAATTTTAAATAGAGAAGAGCCAAAAACTGATCTATGTGGGATGCCACTTGAAACACATAATCAATGACAATTTCCCATTTGCAGTTACATTTTGAGACCTATCAGTTAGCCAGTTTTTAATCCATTTAGTGTGTGCCATGTCAATTTTATATCATTCTAGTTTTTCAACCAAAATGTTGTGTGGTACTAAGTCAAATGCCTTACAGAAGTCTAAGTATTAACACTATTACCTTTATCAGCCAAACTTGTAATCTCAAATTAGTTTGACAAGATCTATTTTCCATAAACCCAAGGCATTAATTATATTACCCTTCTTTAATTCTTTACTAATTGAGTCCTGTATCAGCTGCTCCATTACCTGGGCCTACAATTACCCAGGTCATCCTTTCGATCTTTTAAAAATATTGGAACAACATTAGCTTTCTTCCAGTCTTCTGGAAATACATCAGTATTCCAAGACTTACTGAAAATCAAAATTAATCATCCAATTTGCTCCTCAGCCAGCTCTCTCAGAACTCTTGAATGCTTCGAATGGACCTGCTTCGAAGGAAGACTAAAAAACCCAAACTCTACATTATAGGTCACTAGAACAAGTGCACATCCCATGAGTGTAAATTTCTTTTTACCTATATTGGTGACCAATCCATACTCTGAAGTATGAGGAACCTCTTTATATGTTGCCATAGAATTAGTATAACTGCAGATGTTATTCATATAAATGCTCAACTGTATGCTTTGAATCTTATTACAGTAATTACTTCCATAATTTCCTAAGGCACGTATTTCAACAGGTTAATTATACACTTTTATGACTAAATTCATACATATTTTTACACTAGGTAGCTTTTGTTTGGCATACCTATGTAACATGCTTGACAGAAGCTAGACAATTCAGCTTTATTGAGGACTACTGAAATGAACTTGCAATTTTGGAAAGCCATCAAAAATGACACAGAATTCAATGCACTGGACTAACAGTAAACAAGAATATCAATAATAAATTCATATTAAAGAAAAATAGATTATACCTTACCGAAAGGAAGTGTTCTTTTCTTTTTGCTTTGGCAAGATTATCTGCGGTGCAGTTTGCCCAGCTGCAAAAGCAAAGGTGCTAAAGATGGACTGGGGATAACGGAACTTCATTAGCTGTTTCCTAAATATTTCTACCACTTCAGGACTCACTTCCTCATCAAATGCTACTTTAATTAACTGCAAATAAAAAGACATAACATGTTAGAGACTGGAAATAATTTAATATGCAACTTTTGAGATCAAAGAAAATGAAAACAATCCCACAAAGGAAGTAAAATAATATATTAATAAACAAACAGAAATATGTATATGTTACTGATTATGGCAATTCATTTTATTCATTTTTACTTTATTTTTTAATTTTATATTCTAATGCCAAAATACTTCCACTCTGTAGTGTCTGGAATTTCCATAAAATTAAGACAAAACATCTGAGCAAATCTAAGTAGCAGTTTTTGCACTAACATTTCTACACTAGTTAAAACACTACCCATATTTTCTTGCTACATGGGATGGCAAGGGCTGGAAGAGCTCTGGTGGGCCAGGTCCTTGAGGCTAGACAGGATGACACTGGTAAAAGATTGATACTTTAATTGATGGATACTCTTTTGTTTGCCGTACACAAGGCATATCTGATCCTTCGTTTTCATTTCACTTACTTTAGTTTTTTCTCTCCAAATGGCTAATAATTCTGTTGTTCTAGGACCTCCTTGAAATGAGGTCTTGAATATTTAGCGGTCACCCTAATATGACATTTTAAATACATTAAAATAATATAGCTGTAGCCATTCTCCCTTGATAGTCATAATTAATACACAAAGCAGAGAGGGGTCTATTTCATATAATATTGAACTTTGGCTGTTAGAAAAGGAACAGAAAGTAAACCATTTGCTGGTTGGTTTTGTTTTGATAACCTAAAACGAAACTACATTAAACAAAAGCAGAGATTATATTTGACCAGGGTCCAGAACCAGAAACTTTGAGTTGTGTCTGCATTTAGCATACTATTGAAGGATGTTAGAAATTTTATTGTACTGTTAGTCTCCAAAAAGAGCTTTGGAAAACAAAAGGCCAGTTACTGTTTTACTTGAAAGGCATATAAGAGTGACTCCTTAAATTGTTAATTAAATCCATTCATTTATATAGGTTAATGTTTATGAGAGAAATATTATGTTACACAGTGACTATTCAAAACACCAATAAGAAGAAATTGATGACATACTCCTAAATGAAAGACTCTCCATTTTATCAAATTGTGATTTTTTTTGTCTTGAACAAAGTAATGAACTTTTGTAGCAGTAACCAGATCTAGCTAAACATTTCATGTTCTGAAGCCACACTTACATAATTTTAATTCTATTGATTACAATTCTTGAAGATTTCTACCTTACATTCCTCTTCCCTTCATTTAGGGCCTCATCATAGGCTAGATTACTTCAGACTAAATTCACTGTAGGGGGCTCCCGGCTCTGGGAAAAAAAAAAACTCCAGAGGATTCCCAACTCTACAAACTGTCCTGTTCTACATGCCTTTGAAGAATAGCCTGTGAGACCTGTCCCTAAACTGGTAAATCCTCAGGAATCTGTACAGATCATGGGGCTCCACCAAAGGTCAGAGCTGCCTATGGAGAGGCCCTGTGCTTCTGGATTAGCTCTCGACCTTGGTGATACCCCAGGCTCCATTTTAACTGTGCTACCATGGACTTCCTCCTGCCATGGAGCCACCCAGAAACACTGGGTGTTCTTATTTTTTCCAGATACACTCCACCAGGATGGAGGAGATTTGATGTACATGCCTTTTGACCTACCCAGACTCAATCTGCTCTTCAGCAGAGACTTTGGACCCAAAGATTGTCCTCCAGAGGGTCCAATGGAGGGGTCAGAGGAGGAGTGAGAGAAACAGGCAATGAAAACCATTTATGCTCTAGTAGATATTGAGTGTATGTGTAGGAAAGCACTTCCGGGTTCCTGTAAGATGCTGAGACCCCTCCAATACCACTGACTTCACAAGGAACAGAGGATACTCAGCCGCTGCCAGGGGCCAGGGTGTTAGTTGCAGCAGGTTATTTTGATGAGATCATAATTTCAGGTGTTTTACAAAGCATAAAGAATAAAGCATTCCATTCTACCTGAAATGATGCTGAGGTGATCTGCAGTCCTTCCTGCATATTCTGTTGCAGCTGGTTCTGTATAGTAATCTTCTTCTCCTTCATAATAGATGCTATGGGAAAGCTCCGGATCACTGTCTGTTCTCCAGCTAAGTATCATAGAATCATTTACAGACACGTTAGGTCATGGAATCATATCTGATTTAGTTCTATTTTACTTTGAACAGGTGTTAATGAATGGGTGCAAAGAAATGGAATATAAGGCACATGATCTTGGCTAGAAGGCCAATAACAATCCAGAATTCACTTTAGGCAAAAGGCTTTAAAGCAGGTGATAAATTCCCAAAATATGACATACAACCCAACATTCAGTTAACTAACATTCGTTTTTCCCATTTGACATTAATTAGGATGATTGGAAAAATATTTTTTCATTCTCTCTCTTTCTAAATGGTGGAAATGGCAGAAAAAACTATTTGGTTGTAGTCCAAAAATCTGTCTCTAACTATTAGTAATCTGTCATATTACATTCTGAAGTTTATATATAACTGATATGCATTAGTTTCCTTATATAAAACTATGAACATTATGTATTTACATTTTTGCTTGATAAATTAATTTGTTTAATAAAGTAACTAAAACAGAGATTTCCAAACAAGAAAATCTGATCTTTAGAACTACTACACTTCCCATGACATAATTAAACACAATATTTAATCCAGTAATGATTGTTGAGGGGAAAAAGTAAACTCCATTACACAGGGTTTTCAATATGTCCAAGATAATTGCTTTTTCAATTTCTACCATTCAGACTCACTCCTTAGTTTTTAATTACTGCACTTTTATTAGTCTGTGCTATTTAAAAAAAAGTTTGAACATATGCAGACCTTTGAGTTCAGGAATTTATCTCCCCCTCACTGTTAAAGTCCTCAACTACAAGCCCCCATCCTGACATGGCTCATCACTTGACATATGAATCCACTAAACGAGATTTTAATCTTTAGCCATTAATGATATTTTTGTACTTCTCTAGTACAGAGTGCACTGCTGTAGGTTTCACAAATCCTCCATAAAGTAGCATTTTACAGATGAGGAGCGTGAGGCACAGAGAAACTAAATGACTTGTCCAAATCAAACAGTAAGTCTGTGGGAGTGCCAGGAATATACCCAAGAGTCCTGACTGCCAGTCTTCAGCTTTAACCACTATACAACATTCCCTCACTCTTCTGATAAGACTACTGAACTGTTTCACCTTGTGCAAGTGACACCTTAAATGACTGCTTCTGTCTGCTTCTTGAAGCAGCTAGTCATGCTACTCACAAGAGCAGAGGCAATTCTTGATTTAGTCTGAAGTGGAGCACAGGATCAGGTCCAAGAGGTGAATATAGCTGGACCGCTTGGTAATAGTGATCATAATATAATTAAATTTAACATCCCTGTGACGGAGAAAACACCATAGCAGCCCAACACGGTAGCATTTAATTTCAGAAACAGGAACTACACAAAAATGAGGAGGTTAGTTAAACAGAAATTAAAAGGTACAGCACCAAAGATAATATCCCTGCAAGCTGCATGGAAACTTTTTAAAGACACCATAATAGAGGCTCAACTTAAATGTACACCCCAAATTAAAAAACACATAAGAGAACCAAAAGAGAGCCACCGTGGCTAAACAACAAAGTAAAAGAAGCAGTGAGAGGCAAAAAGGCATCCTTTAAAAAGTGGAAGTTAAATCCTAGTGAGGAAAACAGAAAGGAGCATAACTCCAGCAAATGAAGTGTACAAATAAAATTAGGAAGGCCAAAAAAAAATTTGAAGTACAGCTAGCCAAAGACTCAAAAAGTAATAGCAAAAAAAAATTTTTTTTAAAGTACATCAGAAGCAGGAAGCCTGCTAAACCACCAGTGGGGCCACTGGACGATTGAGATGCTAAAGGAGCACTCAAGGACGATAAGGCCATTGTGGAGAAACTAAATAAATTCTTTGCATCAGTCTTCATGGCTGAGGATGTGAGGAAAATTCCCAAACCTGAGCCATTCTTTTTAGATGACAAATCTGAGGAACTGTCCCAGATTGAGGAGTCCTTAGAGGAGGCTTTGAAACAAATTGATAAAGTAAACAGTAATAAGTACCAGGACCAGATGGTGTGAAACTGCAGGACTACTACCTGTAGTCTGTAACCTATCTTTTAAATCAGATTCTGTACCAAATGACTGGAGGATAGCTAATGTGATTCCAATTTTTAAAAAGGCTCCAGAGGTGACCATGGCAATTACAGGCCGGTAAACCTGACTTCAGTACTGGGCAAACTGGTTGAAACTATAGTAAGAACAAAATTGTCAGACACATAGATGAACATAATTTGTTGAGGAATAGTCAACATGCTTTTTGTAAAGGGAAATCACGCCTCACCAATCTACTAAAATTCTTTGAGGGGGGTCAACAAGCATGTGGACAAGGGGGATCCAGTGGATATAGTGTATTTAGATTTTCAGAAAGCTTTTGACAAGGTCTCTCACCAAAGGCTCTTAAGCAAAGTAAGCAGCCATGGGATAAGAGGGAAGGTTCTCTCATGGATTGATAACTGGTTAAAAGATAGGAAACAAAGGGTAGGAATAAATGGTCAGTGTTCAGAATGGAGAGATGTAAATAGTGGTGTCCCCCAGGGGTCTATACTGGGCCCAGTAGTATTTAACAGATTCATAAATGATCTGAAAAAAGGGGTAAACAGTGAGGTGGCAAAATTTGCAGATGATACAAAACTACTCAAGATAGTTAAGTCCCAGGCAGACTGCGTAGAGCTACAAAAGGAGCTCTCAAAACTGGGTGACTGGGCAACAAAATGGCAGATAAAATTCAATGTTGATAAATGCAAAGTAATGCACATTGGAAAACATAATCCCAATGATACATATAAAATGATGGGGTCTAAATTAGCTGTTACCACTCAAGAAAGAGATCTTGGAGTCACTGTGGATGGTTCTCTGAAAACATCCACTCAATGTGCAGTGGCAGTCAAAAAAGCGAACAGAATGTTGGGCATCATTAGGAAAGAGATAGATAATAAGACAGAAGATATCATATTGCCTCCATATAAATCCATGGTACGCCCACATCTTGAATACTGCATGCAAATGTGGTCGCCCCATCTCATAAAAGATATATTGATATTGGAAAAGATTCAGAAAAGGGCAACAAAAATGATTAGGGGTATGGAATGGCTGCCGTATGAGGAGAGATTAATAGGATTGGGACTTTCAGCTTGGAAAAGAGATGACTAAGGGGGGATATTATAGAAGTCTATAAAATCATGACTGGTGTGGAGAAAGTAAATAAGGAAGTGTTATTTACTCCTTCTCATAACACAAGAACTAGGGGCCACCATATGAAATTAACAGGCAGCAGATTTAAAACAAACAAAAGGAAGTATTTTTTCCACACAGCGCACAGTCAACCTGTGGAACGCCTTACCAGAGGATTTTGTGAAGGCCAAGACTATAACAGGATTCCAAAAAGAACTAGATAAATTCATGGAGGATATGGCCATCAATGGCTATTAGCCAGGATGGGCAGGGATGGTGTCCCTAGCCTCTGTTCCTCTGGGAACACGCGACAGCGGATGGATCACTAGATGATTACCTTTTCTGTTCATTCCCTCTGGGGCATCTGGCAATGGCTACTATCGGAAGACCGGATACTTGGCTAGAGGGACCTTTGGTCTGACCCAGTATGGCTGTTATGTTAAGTATGAACAGAAAGCTCAAAGTATATTTTTATTGTATTTTAAGTAAATAGGACCCCAAAGGCCTACTGTAACATGGGAACAATGCTAAAATTCAGTACCTAAAAACCCAGGTGGATATTTGGATTGCAGATAAATTAAAATGTAACATCAAAAATAAATATCATTATATTTAGTGATAAAGTCAAGAATCTAGGCACATGGTCTATTTCTGTACAGATGATCAACATGAATTAAATTAATACTTAATTGAATTCTTAGCAATTTTTTGTTGGGTAGATTTGTTTTGATGGTCTTGCTTAAATAAACTGCAGGGCCAGTTCAAGGTCTCATATACCTGTCAGACCATATATTATTCTGATCTTAGTAAGAAAGACCATACCTAATTGATCATGAGGAGTGCCTTTAAATATAATTCTGTATGTGGTAAGGAACAAAGCTCCTTCTGCTGGGAGAATATGGGGACCTCCGAGCAATCCTCCTGTTGCTTCCTCTCTCCCATCAGGATCCAGCAGCACACGGAGACCATCACACACAAACTCTTCTCCTGGCAGCAAAGCTGGTCGCAGAATCTTAGGCTAAGACCAAATATAAGAATTTTAAATGTAAGTATAATGTACAGTATAACACTGCAATCTACCAAATTGGTATTTGACATGAAAAAATTTAATTTCAAAACTGTTGAGACTGACTCTGCGAGAGGCTGAGTTTGGACTCAACTCAATAAAATTGGTCTTAAGTAGTTGTCATGCCACCACTTCTTTATGTTCAGAGATTTGGCTCTGCTACTTTCACAAGTTCATATTTCATGAGACCAAAGCCAAACAATTTATCAATCACTGGTGGAAAATTTCTTGATTATACTGTTCAGTGATCAGATATCTCTTCATAATATTAGAAAAAGGAAGGCTGAAGCCACGTCAAACTGTGTACGATTCCAATACGTGTAACCAATACAAACACCTTTTATAATACTTACCTTCTGTATTGGTGGTAGTCTTCTACTCTCTCGATGGACGGCCTCCAGAGTCTCAATGTGCATTGCTACAATCCCTGGGAATCAGTGACACCATAAATTAAACCTCACACAATATAAGAAAGAGTAAAACAAACTAAATATAACTCCACGGTTTGAAATCCTAGAGTTAAACTGTCAAGGAAAAACAGCGTAGATGTCATCAATGGCTATTTGGAATTCATCAATGATTACAGTCTAGGAAACAAACCCATAAACTATACTGAAAACAACAAACCAAAAATACACTTCTACTGGAAAATATCAGTTCCCAGAGAAAGAAGTGACAATTTTGCAAATTTACATTTTTTTAAACCAGTTCTTACCTGGTATCATGCAATGAAGGCTCTTGATGTGATCCTGTGTAACTCCACTCTCTGTACATACTTTGTCTATAAACCTGGTGATGAAGCGTACAACTGCATTGGCAATATCATTGTTCTCAGAGTCTTCAAACCCACTTTCGGTGTCATAGCTCTCTGCAACACTGCCGGCAATACTACAGAAGAAAAGGAAAAAAACTGCTAGTGTAAAAAAATCCAGTTAGCTAACCATAATGCACAGAGAATAACTACCATATATTTTTTGTCTAATGAGTCTGCTGTATTCAGTGTAGCTAAATATATTGTCCACTTTGCCTCTACACTTCAGGCACAGTTTCAGATACTAACAATATAAACACCAGTGTATGCTGATGCCATCTCTACAATAGCACTCCCACTGCTGGAGCTGCACTGGTGAATAAATAAGGTAGAAAACAAGTCTGGTATAGACAGGTACAGTTCCTTAAAAAGGAAAATCCTTTTAAGTCTGGTCCCATGTCTCCTCTTCATTATACTTAGCATCATTCACAGTCTGTAATCCATGCTCAACAAAGAGAAGGATACTGACCCTATGCAGGATACTGACCCTATGCAGTAACTGTGGTTCTTCAAGACGTGCATCTCCGCGTGTGCGCCACTCTAGGTGTGCATGCGTCTCATGAGCCTCAGATAGGGGATTTTAGGTAGCAGTGCCTGTTCAGCCCACACATGCAGCCCATACAGTCTCATGCTCTGCACCATAGCCATACAGAGCTGTGCAGGTGAACTGCCCTCAGTTCCTTTTTTTCCAGCTGAATTCCATCACAAAGAACTCGGAAGTAGAGGAGATAAGGGCAAGTAGTGGAGCACCCATAGGGACAGTCTGCTTCTCGAGTGTTTCTTGCTCTTTCTTGGCTGTGGTGAACAGGTCTTCTGCGTGATGACCCAACATCAAAATAAGCAGTGGAGTGTAATGGGCTCTATCTCCCATTTGTGATCCTGTGAGAAGTGCCTACTGAGGGTATCTGCTGTGATGTTTTGCATGCCAGAAAAGTAAGCTGCTGAGATGCTGATCTGATTTAGAATGCACCAATTCCAAAGCCTCACTGCTCCAGAGCAGAGGGAAGATGATCTCACTCCCCCCTTGATGCCACATTGATGTAAGCTTCTATGAACTCCAAACTTTGCACTGGGGTTAAGGTGGACTTTTGGATGTTTAATTGTAGTCCCAGTCTGAGAAATAGGTCTATGGCCCTCTGAGTGGCCAGTGAGACTTCACTGTAGGAGAGTCCCTTGAGCAGCCAATCATCAAGGTATGGGAAAATCAGAATTCCTCGTCTGTGAACACGAGGAGCCATCACTGAGAGAAATTTTTAGAACACTTTGGGTGCAGAGGAGAGACTGAATGGGAAAGCCTTGTATTAAAAATACTCTTGACGGAGAGCAAAGCGTAGGAAGCTTCTGTGGAAGGGGTGAATTGCTATATGAAAGTAAGTAGGTCAAGAGCCGAGAACCAAACCCCTTTGTCCAGTGATGGAATTATTGCTGCAAGAATTACCATCTTGAATTCTGAATCTTTGCAAATCTGTTAAGTAATCTTAGATCCACAAAGGATTTCCAGCCACAATTCTTTTTTGGAACCAGGAACTACCTGGAATAAAACCGCGTCCCTCTGTGTTTCATAGGAACTGGTTCCATAGCACCCAAATTCAGGAGGAAGTCTATTTCCTGTCATCGGAGGTACTTGTGAGAGGGGTCCCTGAAGAGGGATAGGGAAGTGGGGTGGGATGGCCGGAGGGAAGTAAAGTGGATGGAGTATTCTGTTGAAATGATCTCCAAAGCCCCCGGGTCCACAGGGATATGTTCCCAAGCTCAGTGGAAGTGAGAGAGATGGTCACCAAAGCGAGGGAGACATGCAGATTGTTGAAGTAGGTATGAGTGGGACTGGTAACTGAACACCTCGACCACCCTGTCAAAATTGGTGTGTCAAAATTGTGGGTTGTCAGGTTAATGCCTGAGAAATAGGTGGTCTCTTCTTTTGGAACTGTTGTCTCTTATGCTGGAGTATGTAAGGTACTTGGGAGGCAAGTAGGGTGACCCAATGTCCCGATTTTATAGGTACAGTCCTGATTTTTGGGTCTTTTTCTTATATAGGCTCCTATTAACCCCCCCCCCCCGCCTCCCCACTCCTGTCCCGATTTTTCACATTTGCTGTTTGGTCACCCTAGAGGCAAGAAACAGAGTGGGACAAGATCTCTGTGCTGTCTGGGACTTACTAAACTTTATTTTTTGTGAAAGGGTGTAAATTCCCAGAGAACGCAAGTTGAGCCTGAGTCTTTCAAAGTATGCAGGGACTTGTCTGTCTTTTTCGCAAACAGCATCAATCCATCGAAAGAAAGATCCTCAATTGTATTTTGGAATTTCCCTGGAAGCCCCGAGAGCTTCAGCCAGGAGGCCCTCCTCATTACTACCACTGTGGAGATAGAACAAGCTGCTGTATCAGTGGCATCCAGAGAGGCCTGCAGTGATGTCCTGGCCAGCAGCTGACCCTCTGCAATGATTGCCTGAAATTGTTCCCTCTGCTCTGATGGAAGATTCTCAATAAAAGAATTAAACTTCAAATAGTTAGTATTTCACCACGAGGGCTGGATAGGTGGTGATCTTAAATTGTAGAGTACCCCACAAACATGATTTAAGGCCAAATAAGTCAAGATGATTTTGGTCTTTGTCATATGGTGTTGATTTAGCGTGGTGCTGTCTTCCACATTTGTTTACAGTGTTAACCACAAGGGCGTTGTGGGAGGGATGCGAAAATAAAAATTAAGAGTTCTTAGAGAGAACATATTTTTTGTCCACCCTCTTACAGGTAACATAAGAACATAAGAATGGCCCTACTGGGTCAGACCAAAGATCCATCTAGCCTAGTATCGTGTCTTCTGACAGTGGCCAATGCCAGGTGTCCCAGAGGGAATGAACAGAACAGGTAATCATGAAGTGATCCATCCTCTGTCGCTCATTCCCAGGTAGGCTGTATTGTGGCTGAGATATGCCAAATTATTTCTGAAGGGTCTAGCAGAGCCTCATTAATAGGCAGCACAATGTGGGCAGATAATGTTGTAGGCAGGATGTCAAGCAGTTTATACTGTAACTCCTTAACCTCCTCAAGTAGAATTTGCAAGGAGTCTGCTATACTTTTAATGAGGTCCTTAAACTGTTTGAAATCATCTGCTGGAGGAAGCATAATGACATCATCTGGGGATGAGGAAGAGATAGTTGTTGGAATGACCTCCTTGTCCATTCACTTCCTGCTCCTCAAAGGTCTCTTCCTGTGGATTGGGCACCCTAGAGACAGAGGCTGGTGGGGATTATTTGCCCTTCTCCCAGCAAGAAACACTAGAGGCCCTGTAGAATTGTAATTAAGCTGCTCAAGGGTCCCAGTATAGCCAATGAGATGGTGCATATGGCATGGGTCGAAGGTGCCCAAGGGTGTCCATACCAGTGGGATGGAGTATGAGGATGTCTTTCAAGAAGTTGTTCTGATTCCCTGGAGGTCTCAGGAAAGAAAGTCCCCTGATAATGGAAAGGAGAGCCATGGACAGAAATCTGGGAGACTGATGAAAAGTCCCCATCATCTTCCTCATTGTCACTTTGTCAGGGATGGACACCCTTAGAGATAGGTGTAGACTCCATCGGTACCAGGTAAATGTCCAGAGAGCAAGAGGTCCTCAATATCGAGAATGGGTTGGTGCCAAACAAAGGAGATTCAAATGTTTGTGTTACTGCCAGGTCCCCCAGGAATCAAAACTCTTGCAGTACTGAAACATTGGTTGGTGCCAAAAAGGCAGCCTAGGCAGAGGTAACTGTGGCAGAAGGAATTGATGGTACTGAAGGTCTTATGCACTATGATGATTGACCAGTAGGTGTTGTCTGGTCTTCTGCAGTGCCGAAATGCTAGGTACTCAGGGTCTGGTAGACTGTCAGTACCAGAAGAGCTGATCTTTTCCTCCCTACTGTTCCAATCACAGACAGTACTGATCTTCCGGAGCTAGAACCCTTAGAGTCCTTGGCCTTGCTGGTGCTCATGGTACCTGAAAAACCTGCAGCCACGTGGGTACCAAGCTGGAGACCGGTAGGTGTCGAAATGGTTGTCTGAACCGGAGACAATCTCTTTGAGGTAAATTCTCTACCTAGAGGGCTTGAAGACTGCTTCCTATAGTCCTTTTGAGAGGATTCCAGAGACGACTTATTTGATGCTAAAGGGGATGCACCGAGGAGGCTGAGGCAGCTGACTTGCTTGAAGTTCATTGTACAGGGTGGGGTCCATTGGTTGGGGTCAGAAGCTGGCCAGAGAGAACTCTCCATCATGAGGAGACATAACTTAGGTTCCTGTTCTTTCTTGCTCTTAATTATAATGCCAAACAGGAATTACACTTTTGGGGAATGTGTGACTCCCCCGGCAACGGACATGCCGGGAATGTCTGTCACTCACCAGGATCACCTTCCAGCATGAAAGACAGCATTTCCAATCGGGAGAACTGGGCATGCGCTCCCAGTGTTTAAGTTCCCCTGAGAGGCAAAAAAAGCTAAAAGGACAACGATCCTTACACTTATAATTAACTTTCTCTCTCCCCCCCCCTCCACCCCCATCTCTATATATAATTTTTATTTTTAAAAAAATTATATAATTACAACTAACTAATACAAAGCTAACACTAAGGACTCACATTAACTAACTAGTAGATAAGAGAAAGGTAAGCTCAACTTGGACACTGCTGAGGTGCCATCGCAGGCCGAGGTGGCTGAGAAGGAACTGAGGGTGGCTCGCCTGTACAGCATGTGGCTGAATGGCACTGCTACCTAAAATCTCCAATCTGAGGTGCATGCGCACCTAGAGTGGAGCGCCCATTCAGACACTACTCGAAGAACAATAATAAATTACATTAAAAAAACCTACATTCAAAGAACAATTAGATTGCAAAGGCAAATATTCAGAAATTATTAAGTGCCAGAATGAAGGTGGAAACTTAATTCACTTCTCTTGTGCATATGAATTACATTCTTTAATCATATATTGTTTTTTCCACTGGACTCCTGCCTCATTCAGTGCATAGAATGGATGGTGCTCAGGTAATTAATCAGGGTTGTGTAGTGAGTGAGGCAGTTTGTAGGACCCCAGACTCAGTTGTTGTGTAAGTTGGAAGGTGTGTACTGACTAAGGCAAGGGATTGCAGGTAGAGAAAGAATGGTCTCCTGGTACAGGCAGTTGACTACTACACTGGAGAATTGGATTTCACCTCTGACACTGCTATACAGTTCCTGTGAGATGCTAGGCAAGTCACTTACAACAAATGTTTCACTGGTGGTCACTAACTGTGTTCCTCACAACTTGACATAGTAGCGGCTTAATTTGCAGAAGGGCTGAGTACTCAAAACTACAAGTGAAGATACTGTAATGGAAGCAGGTTTTCAACATATAAAGAACTCCTTTGTCTAGAATAATAATACTAAGTGTCCTAATTTATCAACAAGTCTGACTGCCCCTATGAAATGCATGTCATTTTAAGTGGCAGCAAACAATCCCTTGTATGTGAGATGGTTGCCTTTCCCCAAGAAATGGCATACAAAATAATAATTCAAATAATTTGTATTTCGTAGCTGTTCTAAGGAGTTAAGAAGAAAAGGAAGGTAGGGTAGGTGAAAAAATAAGAATGAAAATTAAACTTAAAATTTCTATGTAGACCTTAACTAACTATGCAAATTTTAAAGTAAAATTGTACATTCTCTTCAGCAGCAACATGGAGTTGCCATTCAGCTTTATCTCCTTTAGTATCAAACCACCACATACTTACCACACAATGAGCAATCATTTAAACAATGCCCAAAGGACAAGTACTGCATACAGATTTAACTATTCTCACTGAAGTATGAGAGGATGACACTGGAAAGATATTGTGCAACTACTACTTATGTTTCAGCCTTTGGATCATTCAAGAGCTCCAATCTGTGACACTCCTATCATCTCACTATCTAGTCATTAAACAAAAACATTTGAAAGTGTTGTCATATTTATGATGATACTTGAGAAGATAACTTGGTTTTGTTGGTTTGGGCATTTTACAGAATAAACAACAGAGACACCAACAAATATTTCCAGACTGGATGATGAATGTAAAACTGATTGTGAATTTCTTAAATGACAGCAAGTTACATGATTTCCATAGCCAGCAAAATATCAATCTACACTTCTATTTCACTAGTATAGAAAATGTTACTGGTTTTCTCCTAGTCCTGTTGAAGACCATATGAATTTTGCCAATGACCTACTTCTTAAAGTCCATTTAAATGTACATGGAATCATTTTCAATATTTGCTAGCAAAAAGGCAATTTAATAATTATTACACTCTTTTGGTCAAATTTTGATCAATTCAAAGAAAGGAGGAAAGGGAGTAAGGGTGAGAGCACTTTACCTAAATAAATACCTAGATAAGCATTTAATGTATTTTCAGTGTATATTTCAGACTCCCTGTCACTAATGGCTACTCCTGACTCCAAAATCTATTATAACTAAGGAGCTAATTGCTACTTCTAGAGGATATGATTTTGTTTATGTTGGTACTAAAGTGCACAGAGAAAGAGTTTTCTTACTTTTTCATTTTTATTGAGGAATAAGGATCATGTTACATGAGAATGACCATGCTAAGCTTCTGGCCTCCTTAATATATTGCTCCTGAATCAGTTATCCCAGAAAGAAAAGGTGCACACAGTAGAATTTCTCTGATGCCTTTGAGATTATTTGAAAACAATGTTTTAGGTACTTGAGATGGGGCTGAGCCTTGTTATATCACATTCCCTTTATTTCTTGCACAGTTTTATATGCTCTGTGAACCTTTATTATAATATTTTACCCAACACCTGTTATTGGAAAGGTCATAAAATGCTTTACAAATTTCGACCAGCAAGGTGCTCTGCACAGGTGGACCCCTGTGCTTGCATAGAACTTCACTTACTTCACCAGGACTTTGTGTATTTAGAGCAGTTTGCAGGATTAAGACCTTAGGCTAATGTACAAAATGCACAGAATGATCACATCATCCACTACTGAATTGCCTTACAGCCTTAATTGCTACCAAAGGAAATATTGCTTTGCTGGCATAAAGTTTTTAGTAGCTCAATACTCTGAAACTGCTTAGAGAAGTAAGGATTTCTGTGCATTGTGTCAAAGGAGAAAATGGCACTTTTTGGATGATATTAAAACATTATGTTGATATTACTGGTATTATGAATACAAAGCACTGCAAACTGAACAGTAGGTTAGAAAGAATATCAGCAGGAATTACAATTCCAAAGGTCCTTACTTTTACATTGTTACAAAGGTTGTTAACATAGGACATGAACTTCCATTATTGTAAAGTGCTCCTGCATTTAATTTTTATAATTAATACAGTATTTTTATTAAAAGGACTGAGTTACGTCCCACAATTGCTTACTACCAAACCATGTCTTTTCATTTACGCACCTATTTGTGACAATGCTGTTGCTTCCACTCTCCCAGTCTCCTGTAGCTGATGTTCTCAATAGTTTGTTCTTACTTGTGTCCAGTGGCACTAGCAGGTAGACCATGAGGTTAGCAAAATGAATTGCCTGACTGAAAACTGTACTTTCCTCATTCTGTATTAGCTCCTGCTGAGTTTCTTTATTGAGTGTTGGCCATAAACGCAACTGCTCAGCAGCCAGGTCCATGGCTGTTTTTTCCTGGTCCAGACCTACAGAATTTTTCTCCTAGAATAAACATTGCCACATAAAAACAATAGATGATAGAGTTATATTACTAACATTAAGAAAAGAAATATTAACATTAATTCCAAAGTGTTGAATCTTCATTTCATTATATAAAATGTAAAAAAAATAAGAATAATCTAACACTTATATCTACTTGTAATAGGACTTAAGGATTGCATCCTTAAGTGAATTAAGGTATTGTACTGAAATAATGCAAATAGCATAGTATAGCCAAGTTCAATTTAATAATTTGATTCAGTTCTAGTGTTTTCTAGCCCATACCATCTTTGTGTATTCATTTTTTGCTGAGTTGGGTTTAACAGTCTATTATATAGCTGTTCCTTTCAGCTTGCAGAGTCTTAACTCAGGCAGAGATCAAGCTTGAATTGGATGGAGAAATAAGATGCAGCTAATTGCCTGACAGATGATTTTGTCCAAAGTCCTCTGGCATTCAGGTGAGGCTTGTGTAGATATAAATAAAAAATGGTTACTCACCTTCTTGTAACTGTTGTTCTTCGAGATGTGTTGTTCATGTCCATTCCAACCAGGTGTGTGTGCGCTGCATGCACGCCAGCCAGAAGATTTTTCCCTTAGCAGCGTCTGTAGGGTCATCCTGGGCGCCCCCTGGAGTTGCGCCTTCATGGCGCCCAATATAGGGCCCTGCCGACTCCCCACCCCCTCAGTTCCTTCTTGTCGGTTACTCCGACAGAGGGGTAGGAGGGTGGGTATTGGAATGGACATGAACAACACAACTTATCTCGAACAACAGTTACGAGAAGGTGAGTAACCGTTTTTTCTTCTTCGAGTGCTTGTTCATGTCCATTCCAACCAGGTGACTCACAAGCCAAAGTTCAGGAGGTGGGGTCAGAGTCATCCACTGACTGGAGCACAGCTCGTCCAAAGGCCGCATCGTCTCTGGCCTTCTGTGTGATCGCATAGTGCGTCATAAACGTGTATCGAGGACCACGTCGCCGCTCTGCAGATCTTCTGGGTGGGGACCTGTGCCAGGAATGCAGCTGAGGAGGCCTGAGCCCTGGTGGAGTGAGCGGTGATCAGCGGAGCCGGCACCTTCGCCAGGCCATAACACTCCTGAATGCAAGACGTGATGCATGACGAGATGCGCTGGGATGAAACGGGGAGGCCCTTCATCCTCTCCGCCACCGCTATGAATAACTGGACAGACTTTTGGAACGGTTTGGTTATCTCTATATAGAAGGCCAGCGCTCTGCGGACATCCAGTGAGTGAAGCCTTCGCTCCCTGTCACAGGAATGTGGCTTAGGATAAAACACTGGGAGGAAGATGTCCTGGTTCATGTGAAACTGGGAGACAACTTTAGGGAGAAAAGCTGGGTGTGGTCTGAGCTGTCCTTATGAAATACTGTGTAAGGGGGCTCGGATGTAAATGCCCTGTGCTCCGACACTCTCCTAGTTGAGGTTATTGTCACCAGGAACGCCACCTTGTAAGAGAGATTGTGACAGTGTACCCCATAAGGCTTTATGGGGAGGGGGTGCTTATAAATGTATGGATGACATAACTGGAATATGTT